GCAACTGGAGTATCAAATACCTAAAAGTCAATGTCAACTCAATGTTACCAGATTGGGGTTTTTTTCCCCAAAATGGGGAAAACTTATGTCAATGGGGAAAATTTTGGGGAACGAAAATTTGTGGGGAAAAGTTTGAGGATAATTTTAGACATGGGGATTTTTTTTGGGGAGAATCTTTATATAATAGGTTTTCTTCTTTTTCGTCATTTTATGAACAAATAAAATATGATTGATAAATGTAAGGGCCTGAGCATATATTTTTACTTAATACATAATGCATAACGCATAAAGAAATCAACTAATCCCCATAATAGAAATGAAGAATTCTGATTGGTTGATTCCCTTATACGTTATGCATTATGCGTTATGCAAAAGTCTGTGTTCAAACCCTAAGGGTCTATCCAGACAAATTTGTATAAGCGCGTAACGCATATGCATAAGGAAATTGACTAATCGTATGTTTAATACAAAAAACATTTTTTTACTACACGAATCATAATTAGTCAATTTCCTTATGCATATGCGTTACGCGCTTATGCAAGTTTGTCTGGATAGACCTTTAGAGGCGTAGATATTCTTATTTGTTTTATTTTAAGATGATATGGACTAGATAAGTAAGTTAAGGTTATTTTATATAAACTTATAGTTGAAATTTAATATATTTGAGCATAATATAAAATTTAATATATTTAAGAATAAAATAAGAATAGAGTTTAATATATTGTTACGTCCCTGGATTCTTAACCTCTGAATATCATCATTAGGAAGGTTGTTTATAAACAACCTGTATTTCTGTTGTTTTCCTGACACCATGTCAGATTTGGTCTGGCTTCCGCAACGAGCGAATGCATTCGAGACTGTTCTTGAATTAATGTTTCTCGGGCAATTCTATTTTGTTTGATCGCCTTGTTTCATTGTATTAATAAATTTCCTTTACTTTCTAAGTCGACTGATTCATTTCGGGTGTGAGTAAGTGAGTGAGTGATAGTGAGATCTCGCAAAAGCTGCCCGAGGACGTAACAATATATTTAACCAAATAATGCCTAAAATAAAATAGAAATTATAGAAAAGCTTGAGAATTACTTGGGAAAATTGAGGAAAATTCATTATTAAATTTGGGGAAATTTAGGGAAACTTCATTATTAATTTGGGGAAATCTGGGGATTCATGTATAAATTGGGGAGATTCAGCTTTAGCCATTTGGCAACACTGTGTCAACTAAAACACCAGTAGCAGAGAGAAGCTTGAGAGCGGGCATGGCTGCATGCTGCATTTACAGCGTTATAGAAAAGTTGGCTGATTCGAAGCGCCAACTGGGTCTATTTTTCATGAACATGAACATAACTAACTATTAAGCCAATGTCCACGATTTGTCAGTACTATTCCGTGCTATGTCCATAATATTTGGTTCTATTCTGTGCTATGTTCACGAACGAGCTAGATTAGTTAGATAAAAACGAAGAATCGGTCTTCATCTCACCACCAGCGAATAGACAATCGCGACGAAGCGAGCCAGCAGCGATGTTATCGTAAGGCAGACGTCGCCGTCCCCCCTTTCACCTCCTTGTTCTCCTTTCCACATTGTTTTATATTCATAATTCGGGAAGAAAATAATTTCGAGAGTTCGGACGATTTCTAGCAATGACGCGACAGAGATAACGCGCGGCCACATTAATTTGTCATGACTTTTATATTACTTATAATTACATAAACGCCCATATATGCAAATTATAGATGATTATTGCGCGTATGTTTTAATATTGTACAATATGGCATATAATAACAACAACTTCATTTCCTGCAGTATTTTTTTAAGATCTTCGTTGAGGTCGTGAATTAATTATTTTCTTCATCAATCAATTTTCTGCAAAATTAAGATTTTTTAAATAAAATATAAAATGTTTCTCTTCTCTTCTCTCCGAAGAGTTAATTAAAAAATATATACTCCACAGAGTCAACTAACAAATGTGTAATCAGAAGAGTCAATTCAAAAGTATACTCCGAAAAGTCAATTTAATAGCGTATTCCGAAGAGTCAATTTTAAAGCGTACTCTGAAAAATTAAATTAATATTGTAATCCGAAAAGTCAATTTATAATAGAATATTTACTTCGATGATTCAGCTAAAGAAAAAAACATTTATTTATTATTATATTCAGAGAATAATATTTAATTTATTATTTATATTTATCTTACTTATGCTTACCCTACATATGCTTCTTTGAATGAAAAATTTAATTTATTGACTGATTCAGATTCAGATTTGTTAAAATATCTCTTATGCGCAACTCTTGAACAGGTAGGTAGTAAAATAACTTTTTTCTTTTACGAATTTTATAAACTTTTCACGAACATAAAAATTGAAAGATTCTCAGAGAACAAATAACTTTTCTTGAACATTTAAATCAAAGGAAAATCTTTTCCCATTAATAAAGAATGAATAATTAATATCTCACACAAGAGGAATCTTCATCCTTGAAATAACCGCGTGATTTTGCTTTTAGAAAAGTATAATATTGATGTAATAATAACAAATGCTACCCAATAACGGTGCAAATCTTAAACGTTTTTAAGAAATGTAGTTTGAAGTTTAGTCTTTTCTGTTAATGTCGTAATAGCAGAAGAATTACCAATTTGCTTCAGTAGCGCTGTGGATCAGGCTTTGTGATATGAGCGAAGAGGTTGTTCAAGTGTGTTATTTTTACTACCACAGGGAGAACTATGTAGAATATATAATAATACGCAGACAAATTCTTTACATAATCATACTTATTTCTGTTAGCATGAATAAAAATGATCAATGCTGACGTGATAAGTATATATCGCAATTGTACGTGTACGCAATTGTACACATACACACACACGTACACACGTATACCAATGATGTCAAAATCGAACAATTCGTGAAAATTTTTTATTGACCGCAATTGTACGCAAAGACGAAAGAGAAGTACACGGGTCTCCGCGGGTATCTCGTCATATTAATTGTCTATGAGCTGATAAACAATTGTTTCATTTCGTACTTCTTGATTCTGTTACAATATTCTTTTATATTTCATACTACATCCTTGTATAACTTAAAATTATTCTTAAAATATTATTAAACAATTCAATAATCAAACCTGTGAACCTACCCGACTCCGCAAAATAATTAATAAAATATATTTCATTTTCTTGGCGCCGAATATTATTAATACTATTACAAATAATATTACGAATAACATAAATTTTTCCAAATAAAATTTGTAACCGGAGATCAATTGTTTATCAGCTCATAGACAATTAATATGACGAGATACGCGCGGAGACCCGTGTACTTCTCTTTCGTCTTTGCGTACAATTGCGGTCAATAAAAAATTTTCACGAATTGTTCGATTTTGACATCATTGGTATACGTGTGTACGTGTGTGTGTATGTGTACAATTGCGTACACGTACAATTGCGATATATACTTATCACGTCAGCATTGATCATTTTTATTCATGCTAACAGAAATAAGTATGATTATGTAAAGAATTTGTCTGCGTATTATTATATATTCTACATAGTTCTCCCTGTGGTAGTAAAAATAACACACTTGAACAACCTCTTCGCTCATATCACAAAGCCTGATCCACAGCGCTACTGAAGCAAATTGGTAATTCTTCTGCTATTACGACATTAACAGAAAAGACTAAACTTCAAACTACATTTCTCAAAAACGTTTAAGATTTGCACCGTTATTGGGTAGCATTTGTTATTATTACATCAATATTATACTTTTCTAAAAGCAAAATCACGCGGTTATTTCAAGGATGAAGATTCCTCTTGTGTGAGATATTAATTATTCATTCTTTATTAATGGGAAAAGATTTTCCTTTGATTTAAATGTTCAAGAAAAGTTATTTGTTCTCTGAGAATCTTTCAATTTTTATGTTCGTGAAAAGTTTATAAAATTCGTAAAAGAAAAAAGTTATTTTACTACCTACCTGTTCAAGAGTTGCGCATAAGAGATATTTTAACAAATCTGAATCTGAATCAGTCAATAAATTAAATTTTTCATTCAAAGAAGCATATGTAGGGTAAGCATAAGTAAGATAAATATAAATAATAAATTAAATATTATTCTCTGAATATAATAATAAATAAATGTTTTTTTCTTTAGCTGAATCATCGAAGTAAATATTCTATTATAAATTGACTTTTCGGATTACAATATTAATTTAATTTTTCAGAGTACGCTTTAAAATTGACTCTTCGGAATACGCTATTAAATTGACTTTTCGGAGTATACTTTTGAATTGACTCTTCTGATTACACATTTGTTAGTTGACTCTGTGGAGTATATATTTTTTAATTAACTCTTCGGAGAGAAGAGAAGAGAAACATTTTATATTTTATTTAAAAAATCTTAATTTTGCAGAAAATTGATTGATGAAGAAAATAATTAATTCACGACCTCAACGAAGATCTTAAAAAAATACTGCAGGAAATGAAGTTGTTGTTATTATATGCCATATTGTACAATATTAAAACATACGCGCAATAATCATCTATAATTTGCATATATGGGCGTTTATGTAATTATAAGTAATATAAAAGTCATGACAAATTAATGTGGCCGCGCGTTATCTCTGTCGCGTCATTGCTAGAAATCGTCCGAACTCTCGACATTATTTTCTTCCCGAATTATGAATATAAAACAATGTGGAAAGGAGAACAAGAAGGTGAAAGGGGGGACGGCGACGTCTGCCTTACGATAACATCGCTGCTGGCTCGCTTCGTCGCGATTGTCTATTCGCTGGTGGTGAGATGAAGACCGATTCTTCGTTTTTATCTAACTAATCTAGCTCGTTCGTGAACATAGCACAGAATAGAACCAAATATTATGGACATAGCACGGAATAGTACTGACAAATCGTGGACATTGGCTTAGTAGTTAGTTATGTTCATGTTCATGAAAAATGGACCCAGTTGGCGCTTCGAATCAGCCAACTTTTCCATAACGCTGTAAATGCAGCATGCAGCCATGCCCGCTCTCAGGCTTCTCTCTGCCAGTAGTCGCTCTGAGGCTTTTCTCTGCTGGATACAATTAATGATATATTTAATCAATTTTTAATTATTAATAGTTTTTATCGTACATTGTACTGTCGTCACCTTGAGCTCAAAGCAAACAACAACAACAATAACAACAGTAACGGTAATAACCATTTTCTTTCAACGCATGAAATATATGTATAATAAAAATGACGTATTGTGAAACGTATTATCAGCATCCCACAGGAGAAGAGATTTCGATAAAACGTTGATCTATATATCATGCATCCATCGGCAGTCGTTATTGAACAACCACAAATGGCGGATGATTCATGGAAAACTCCACATTTTCGGCAGAGCGTGGTTGCGAAGATGTAAGCCCCAATTGCTGAATATGAATTAAATTATTAAATATAAAGAATGTTGATTATAAAATTATAGAACTGTCAAAAAGAAAAATTATTATTTTTTATTGCAAGAAAACTAGCAAAATCTTAAAATCCATTTTTTAAGATTTTGCTATTTTTATCGGTTGGACTAACAGGCTGTTTTACATGATGTCATGTGAATAACTTTAGTTACATAATTATGTCATTGTGTTATATCATAAATATATCAAGAAGACATATGAAAAGATGTTTTACAAAAATGGAAAATACTTTATCACATTTATCTGCTTCATTAAACAGAAATAGATTTTTTATGCTTACATTATGTTGAATTGAATCTTAATGCTTTTCTTAATATATGTAATTGTAAGCATTTTCATCAACAGAGATGAAGCTGTACAAGTATCTGGGATGCCCACAACAAGGAATAGCGTTGAAATGGAAAATCATGTTTTTCAAAAGGCAAAAACCAAGGTTTATAATTGTATAATTACTTGTATTGTAGATCTTGTATCTCCGTTAACATATTCCTTTCTATTGTCAGGAGGAGTACCTAGGTTTTGTGGCCAGATTAATCCTTCATGTCTGAGAAATGAGTATGATGTCTCTAAAGTTATAGTAATATAAAATTTTTTAAAATTATAGTAATAGTAGATATTGGAAATAATAAGTACTTCTTTTAGCTCTAATCTTTCAGTATTTAAAATTTGTATATTTCTTTTATATGTGATACTTTTTTGACAATATTCTATTTCCATCTACAGATTCCAAGAAGAGAACAGCTGGTAATGTGCCAAATACTACTGGTACCAATAATCAAGGTATGCTAGATCCAATTGGTGCGCTTCAGACATTGGCACGTCAAGGGACTGGAAATAATCAAATAATGGGCATGAGAGGTTCTGGTCCTAATCATCAAGGCATAATTCCACAACCACCTGCAAGTACTGCAACTAACCGTAAGTTTGAAATTTCAAGAAAACATTAATAAGGCTTTATTCCTATGTTATCCATCTATTTTGGATATGATAATGATCATGCACCCTAAAAGCTCTGAGTGCTTTAAAAAATATCATTTTTCTAAGCAATAAAATCGGTGACATGACTGGGAAAAAAATAAAGTAGTGAAAATGTATATTATCCAACTAACCATCCAATTCAAATATCCAAAAGATTTGATATGAAAGAAGGCAGTAAATCATCTTTATTAGTCTTTATTAGTCATCTTTATTAGTTAGTTTATTTCCCCTTTTATTTAATAAATTAGTTAATCATTTTTAATAAATTACTGCTTTTATTTAATAAAAAATTTTTCAATTAATAGATTTAATTTAATATTTAATAATTTTAATAAAATTTCCTTTTATTTGATAAATTACTGCCAGTATATATTTTTTTTCTTTTTTACATAAAATTTATATGTTCTATTATATTTATAAATAAAATATTTATAAATAAGATTATGGAAACTAAATGATTAACAATTGATCTAAATAGTACCTCTACTTCCTGGGTATAATTTACTATCTTATTCTTGCTATATTTTATAGAAATTACTTATATTGATGTTAAGATACAAATGTTACAAAATCATTTTAATTTAATTACAGTATTAAATTGAATCTTTATCCATTAGTAATATTTAATGCATGTATTAGTAATAATTAATACTAGCTTAGAGCTAGTTCTCTACTTATAAAAGTCCCATACCGTTTTGTGAGATTCGCAATAATTATCGAGTTATTAATGACAAAAATCTGAGGATTGAGCGCGGGCCGAGACGTTATGGGAGGAGCATCTAGCCGCTCAGGCTAGAGAGCATTGCCCAGTCGACAAAGGAACTGTTGCCGGCGCGCGGTGAGAGGAAGAACAACGCGCCAATGTTCATGTCCTTACCTCGCCGCTATTACATCCCGCCGCACCGCCATCTAAGCTCGCGCCGATATGGCCGCTGAATATTCGCGATTACAATTATGAGATTATTTTATGAGGTACCACAGATAGCTCATATTGAATTGTAAAGTTCAAGATTCAAAAGTTCTTTGATCAAGGAAAACATCGAAAAGGAGAAAGCGATAGAGAGCGATGAGATCTACAGAGATTCTCATTGTTTTCTATCGCAATCTATCGTTTTGCTGCATCGGATCCGAAAGAAATGTCGCGTAGAGACTCATCGTGTCCTATCGTTTTATTCAAGTCTACACGGAAAATATGTTTGGTTGAATGAACCAACTTTCTGACGAAATGAGAGAGAGAGAGAGAGAGAGAGAGAGAGAGAGAGAGAGAGAGAGAGAGAGAGAGAGAGAGAGAGAGAGAGAGAGGGAGGGAGGGAGAGAGGGAGGGGGGGAGAGGGGGAGAGGGAGAGAAGGAGAGAGAGGGAGAGAGAGAGAGAGAGAGAGAGAGAGAACGATTAAGAAATTTTGATTGAGAGTAGCACAATTTTGTTTAAGTTAACCATAAACCTTGATGAATTAGACTCAGTGTTAATATTTTCAGTTAATATTTCTCTGTATCGTTCATATTTCATTTACAAGCTGTATCATGGACCAAACATTTTTACCATATATCATGCATAAATTGTTGTCTTATATCGTAATTCTTGTCAGTGGTATAGTCAGTGGTTGTCAGTGGTGTGTTATTTTGACACGCATAAAAATAACGTGTCAAAATGACACACTCGGATTTGCGTTGTATCGCGATTACACCTAGGAATCAATTTTATGCCGAGTATCATTGGTGCACCATTGACAACGGTGGTCCTCTTTTCGCAATTGTACGATACAGAACTTTCAATTTCTTCTGTCGTTAATATACCACTGACAAGAATTACGGTATAAGACAACAATTTATGCATGATATATGGTAAAAATGTTTGGTCCATGATACAGCTTGTAAATGAAATATGAACGATACAGAGAAATATTAACTGAAAATATTAACACTGGGTCTAATTCATCAAGGTTTATGGTTAACTTAAACAAAATTGTGCTATTCTCAATCAAAATTTCTTAATCGTTCTCTCTCTCTCTCTCTCTCTCTCTCTCTCTCTCTCTCCTTCTCTCCCTCTCCCCCTCTCCCCCTCTCCCTCTCTCCCTCCCTCCCTCTCTCTCTCTCTCTCTCTCTCTCTCTCTCTCTCTCTCTCTCTCTCTCTCTCTCTCTCTCTCTCTCTCTCATTTCGTCAGAAAGTTGGTTCATTCAATCAAACATATTTTCCGTGTAGACTTGAATAAAACGATAGGACACGATGAGTCTCTACGCGACATTTCTTTCGGATCCGATGCAGCAAAACGATAGATTGCGATAGAAAACAATGAGAATCTCTGTAGATCTCATCGCTCTCTATCGCTTTCTCCTTTTCGATGTTTTCCTTGATCAAAGAACTTTTGAATCTTGAACTTTACAATTCAATATGAGCTATCTGTGGTACCTCATAAAATAATCTCATAATTGTAATCGCGAATATTCAGCGGCCATATCGGCGCGAGCTTAGATGGCGGTGCGGCGGGATGTAATAGCGGCGAGGTAAGGACATGAACATTGGCGCGTTGTTCTTCCTCTCACCGCGCGCCGGCAACAGTTCCTTTGTCGACTGGGCAATGCTCTCTAGCCTGAGCGGCTAGATGCTCCTCCCATAACGTCTCGGCGCGCGCTCAATCCTCAGATTTCTGTCATTAATAACTCGATAATTATTACGAATTTCACAAAACGGTATGGGAATTTTATATTTGTCTTAACCCGCTCTATGTCTCCACGAGCTCTGCCAGATTAGTTATAAGACACCCTATATATATATATATTTTTTTTTTTATAAACATGCATAAAGTTACAGTACGTCTTTGTTTAATATAGTTTCTGAAACTTTTATTAATATTAATAATTTTGATTGCGTACAGAATCTTGGCTGTTGCAGCATACATATACTGTTAACCTTATCTGTTTGCCTTTTTCCTTTATATCTAAATTTTATATATATCAACATTTCTCTCCATCGACATAGCACTGATTCAATTAAATTAACTTGATAGAGCAATATTCACAATCGGTTTTTATATTTAAAACTATTTGAAGGTAAACTTACATATACATATACATACACTCACATAAAATAATATTAATGCACAAGATATTATGCACAAGATCTTGTTATATAAAATGTAACATAAAATAATATTAATGCACAAGATATTATGCACAAGATCTTGTTATATAACAAGATATTTATGATATATATGTGATATATAAAGCACATATAGAACATATACATAATACATAAGGTGATATATAAAGCAGATATAGAACATATACATAATACATAAGGTGATATATAAAGCACATATAGAAGCATATATATGCTTCTATATGTGCTTTATATATCACATGAATGTCTTGCTAATGAACATGTTAGATGAACATGAACAGCTAGATAATGCTATATATCATCTCGTTAATTTCTGATAAGAATTTTTTAAGCTAGTTGATCTATAGTGAGGTTCATAATATAATGAAGTGAGCCTTCAAGGAAACAGATAGAAAGCGTGATCTTCTTCAAAAAACTTACTGAACTAATATGTATTGTTGTAACAAGTTAGAAAGAAATAAAATATACTTATCCTACTCCAATTCGTTGGACGAATGCAAGGAGTTTGAAAAAGGATAAACCTGAAGATAACAATTCATCTGTTCAACAATTCAGCATATATCTATCTCCTTGAAAGCTCATTCTAATATACTGTAGAGCTCATTAGATCTACAAAATAATAATTTGAATCTAAATTCACGATATTTAAAATTAATGTCATTGATATGTTAAGGGTCGGTAGTTAAGTCCTTATGCCTTTAGCTTCAAACCCAAAACTATTATATAACTTCTGGTTTTTTATACTACCAAATATCATAATTCTTAGATCTTAAGCATTATTAAGATTTTTAGCAGTGTAGAGAATATTTCTTGCCTTAGAAATTACATTATATTTTTGAGTTTAAAACAGATAGTGAAAAGTGAGAAATCTGGAGAATGTACTAACCATGCTCCTCAATACTATGAAACTGTTTGCAAATATTAATATAACTTGTAATATACACATTAATTTCTCATCGAAGTTTGAACATGTCACTATTAAAAATTCTAAATTTACAGATATATTTACTATCCTATTTATAGGTTGCAAAATTTATTAACAAGGAGATGACGCCAATTAGAAAATCGTTTTTGGAACGAGTCATAGTGAGTTCGATAGCTTGTATGTAGGTGATGAAAACCCTAGAGCCGTTCATGCCAATGCGCCTTTGTTTAAGAGAATTTAAGAGACAAAGTTAGGGTCACGCAACTACGTCGCACATAAGCACTAACTTTACGACCTCTTTCGAGTAAGCGGCGTAGCTGAGGAGACTCCCACACATAAATTTTTGCACCGGCGGCGAGCGTTCGGATCCCACCGACGACTGCTTCACTTCATGGTTTTTTTTTTCTTTTTTTCTTTAATTTTCGACATATAGTAATACGTTATTAATAATTATTTATTTATTTTTTGATTTATTTCGTTTTTATATAAAAAAATAAGGACATTTCGGGATATTTGAACGCAATATGAAATAAAAAATATATAAATCGTATGAACTCGTAAATCCAAGATTTAAATGTATGCTTCAATATGCATGGTATGCGTCCAAATTAGCTGACGAAAGAGAAATTTTTTAATGTTAACCAACTATGCTTTCCTCCAAATATTTATAATAAAAAATGCGTATGTGAACAACATAATTCATTTATAAAATGTTCGTGGTGCGACAAAGTTTTATGTTTCCAATGTTTTTACATGAATTTTCATCCACAACACTGCAAAGCGATGGAAACATTTTATAATATGTAGACATTTATAAAGTTTGTATTTGATTTTGACATGTATAAAATTTATACGTTGCTTGAAAAATATATAATCAGTTCATACGATTTATATATTTTTTATTTCATATTGCGTTCAAATATCCCGAAATGTCCTTATTTTTTTATATAAAAACGAAATAAATCAAAAAATAAATAAATAATTATTAATAACGTATTACTATATGTCGAAAATTAAAGAAAAAAAGAAAAAAAAACCATGAAGTGAAGCAGTCGTCGGTGGGATCCGAACGCTCGCCGCCGGTGCAAAAATCTATGTGTGGGAGTCTCCTCAGCTACGCCACTTACTCGAAAGAGGTCGTAAACTTAGTGCTTATGTGCGACATAGTTGCGTGACCCTAACTTTGTCTCTTAAATTCTCTTAAACAAAGGCGCATTAGCACGAACGGCTCTAGGGTTTTCATCACCTACATACAAGCTATCGAACGCACTATGACTCGTTCGAAAAACGATTTTTTATTGGCGTCATTTCCTTGTAAATATATTATAGAGGTTATAAAAATTGCACAAGAGTAATGACTAAAAATTTATCAATTGAGTTATCAAATTATCTTCTTTTTTTATTTCATTGTTCTCTTTAGTTTTTACATATTCTTTTCGACAATAGCGATAATTATTTCTTTCATGATTTCTTTCATGATGGCACACGACAGAATTACATTTGCTCATAGATTTACACAACAATCACTTTATCTTTAATATTAATTTAAATAATTCGCGCGATATATCGGTATGTCCACTCATGCAGGACGATTTGAACACTCGTTTGAATACTAGTTCTGAAGTGGCTTATATGTTTACTTTGATGATCTATTTAGAATACATTTGACATTAGTGATATATTATATACTGGAGATATTTTCCTTTCTGATTTCTGATTGGTACATACTAATACAATAAGTTAAAATAATAAACGTCATAGGTAGATTTGCCTGGTTTATTACAAAGCTTATAATATAATCAATCCTGAATCGATTAAAATCCACTCAGTCGAAAACACTATGGACAAGAGCACAGGCTTTTGCATAACACATAATATATAACGCATAAGAGAATAAACCAATTAGTTTTCTTCATTTCCCTCCTCAGGACAGAAATGAAGAACTCTGATTGCTTGATTCTCTTATGCGTTGTGTATTATGCGTTATGCAAAAGCCTGTGCTCTTGCCCTATGGGTCAGGCCTTAAGATGGTCTTAAATATCAGATCCAACTATGAATACCAGCCTGAGAATCAGAAAAACATATTTAGGGCCAGAGCGTAGACTTCTGCATGATCCTTCTTGCCAGATTCTTTTTGAAAAATACGGTACAAATTGTAATTTCGTTAAACAATGTAATGTTATTGATTCTTTAATAAATCAGTTTAATACGCGTTTCAGTGATTTCGAAATGCTAAGAAAAGATTTAATACTCTTTCCTCTCATTGTGCAAATCGAGGAACAACGTCTACATCTTCAGGCAGAATTGTGTGATTTGCAATATAATCTTCCGCTAAAAATACGGCAGGAAAAGGGTGTCGAATTCTTCAAAATTTTAGACGCATCGTGTTATCGATCTTAGAAATTTCGGTCTTCGAATTTACTCTATGTTTGGGTCCACATATTTATGCGAATGTCCTTTTTCCAAAATGAAAATCATAAAAACAGACAAACGTTCATCTTTGAGAGATGCATCACTATCTCCGTTAATACGTACTACCTCTTCCAAAATCTCTGTGGATATATCATCCTTAGTAAAATCGACATATAAACAAGCAAGAAAATCTAATTAATATTTTTATAAAAATTGGCCATTTTGCGCTCTGTACTTATTCTTGCTCTTTCGTTTTTATATTTCTCACAATGTAGCATTTCGCTTTCCTGCTGAGCCATATACAGAGTCTCAGAACTTTGGGACACGGGCTCCATAGGAACATAGAGCTAAGTGAGAGGAACAAAAAATTCCTCTACCATAATGTGAAAATCGTAATAGTTTTTTAGTAATAATCGCGTAAAGTTTGACGTTTTCCACGCCCATCACGGCCTATAGATGCTTCGCGGCAAGCTGTGTGCATAAGGGCTGAGCGATAACGCGGCTCGCGCTAACCATCGCGCGATGTCAAGGCGCCAAGACGCCATCGCGACAGTCAGCGCGAGACGCATTATCGCTCAGCCCCTATGCACACAGCTTGCCGCGGAGCGTCTATAGGCCGTGATGGGCGTGGAAAACGTCAAACTTTACGCAGTTATTACTAAAAAGCTATTACGATTTTCACATTATGATAAAGGACTTTTTTGTTTCTCTCACTTAGCTCTATGTCCCTATGGAGCCCGTCTCCCAAAGTTCTGAGACACCCTGTATATGTATATATATATACACGGTATCCTATTTTAAGTGTCCACCCCAAATATCTCTCTTATTTTTGATTTTAGAGAAAAATGGTTCAGACACGTTTTGTATGGTTTCGAGGGGGCCATAAGACGGTACCATTGATTTGACCTTGAAGAGTCATTTGAAGGTCACGTGAAGGTTACCTCAATTTTTTTAGATGGCACCCCCTATTTTTTATTATATATTCTTGTTGCTGACCTCGAGAGCTTCTCAAAACACTATAATCAAATGTTTTTTGGTGAAGTGCTTTTCGAGTTATAAAGCTCCAAATTTACAAAATTTTGATAAAAATACAAAATATTTCGTAAAACATTCACTTTCCGATAGCCTTATCTTACATGATCCAACCAGTCAAGGCAAGATCCGAGCATGATCCAACCAGTCAAGGCAAGATCCGAGCATGATCTAGCCAGTCAAGGCAAGATCCGAGCATGATCCAGCCAGTCAAGGCAAGATCCGAGCATGATCCATCCAGTCAAGGCAAACGTGTCTGAATCATTTTTCTCTAAAATCAAAAATAAGAGATATTTGGGGTGGACACTTAAAATGGGACACCCTGTATATACATGCATGTATATATATGTAAGTATGTATGTATATATGTGTACAAATATATTTTTTATTTTATATTACAGCAAGTTCATCACGAAGGGGAGTAAGTGCCGGCAAAAGTCGAGTGATTTGGAAGGCTCATCGTGGACGTGGAGGAGCAAGACGCGGCCAGTTTATTAAAAATTATTTTTATTTTAAATAAAAAATAGAAAATTATATATATTTATAAATAGTGTATTTATAATAAATATATATAATAAAATAATAAATCACAAAATAATGATTTTTATTAGAAAAAGAGAGAGAATGAGAAAATGAGAGAATGAGAGAATGAGAGAGGGAGAGTGAGAAAGCGTGAGAGGGTTTGGGAGTGAGAGAAAATGAGTGAGAATGACAGGGAACGCGAGAGAATGAGAGAGAATGAGAGTGAGAGAGAGTGGAAGAGTGAGAGAGCTTGAGAGAGTTTGGGAATGAAAGAAAGTGTGAGAGTGAGAGAGAAAATGAGAGAGAATGACAGAATGAGAGAGCATAGGAGAGAATTAGAGAGAATGAGAGAGAGAGAGAGAGAGAGAGAGAGAGAGAGAGAGAGAGAGAGAGAGAGAGCGTGAGAAAATTTGGGAGAAAGTGTGAGAGTGAGGAATTGAAAGGGTGGGAGAATGAGAGAGAGTGAGAAAGAGCTAGAGAGAGAGAGAGAAATGAACATAGAGAGTGAGAGTGATTTTTATTAGAAAGAGAGAGAGCGAATGAGAAAATTAGAGAGAATGGGAGAGGGTGACAGAATGGGAGAGGGAGAGTGAGAGAGTGTGAGAAGGTTTGGAAATGAGAGAAAGTGAGAGAGAGAGAGAGAGAGAGAGAGAGAGAGAGAGAGAGAGAGAGAGAGAGGGAGAGTGGGAGAGTGGAAGAGTGAGAGAGCGTGAGAGAGTTTGGGAGTAAGAGAAAGTGTGAGAGTGAGAGAATGAGGGGTTGAGAGAGCGGAAGAATGAAAGAGAATGAGAAAGAGCTAGAGAGAGTGAGAGAGAGAGAAAGAGAGAAAGTGAGAGAGTATATATATATTGGTATATACGTATGTACATACGTATATGCCAATATAGGTACGTATGTACGTAGTACGTATGCATCTACAGGGTGGGAGGTTATAAGTTGACAACCCGAAATATGAAGGTAGATTGGGTTAAGACAAACATAAAAGTCCCATACCGTTTTGCGAGATTCGCAATAATTATCAAGTTATTAATGACAGAAATCTGATGAATGGGAGCGCGCCGACATAGATGATTGGAGAAGCGTTGCAGCTACTCAGGCCATAGCGCGGCCCACTCGACCCAGCAACTGTTGGCGGCGTGCGGCGAGACGTAGATCCAGCGAGATAAAACAACGAATAGCAGCGCATTGTCTTTCCCCTCGCCGCGCACCGGCAACAGTTGCAGGATCAACTGAGCCGCGCTGCGGCTTAAGCAGCTGCAATGCTTCTCCAGTCATCTATGCCGATGCGCTCTCATTTCTCAGATTTCTGTCATTAATAACTCGATAATTATTGCGAATCTCGTAAAACGGTATGGGATTTTTATCTATGTCTTAACCCAATCTACCTTCATATTTCGGGTTGTCAACTTATAATCTCCCACCCTGTATAAGGTGTCCCATAATTGTAATACACTATCTCCATAGAGCTAAGTGTGAGGAACAAAACAGTTCTCTCCCATTTAGTGATACCTCGTATAGTTTTTTAGTAATAACCGCGTAAAGTTTGGCGTTTGTCATGCCTATCGCGGCCTATAGACGCTCCGCGGTGTGCTCATGTTATATAACTCATGTTATATAACAGTTATATTGTTGAGTAGGAAATTACAACTAACATGTACATTACATGTGATATTGTGTTTGCTGGGTACACACATATATACATATCCCAGGCAGACCAGAAAATCATGATGACATCAAAATGATGAGGAAAACTTATTTTTTTATCATGATTTAATCATTTTTTCGTTATTTTGATATCATTGTGATTTTCTGTTTTGCCTGGGATATTAAGCAATAAAAGCATTTTTTCTGGAATTTATTTTTTATTTTCTATTTGAAGTGTACAACAAATTCCAGTAGCACTGTCTCATTCTCTAGCACAATATCTAAAAATTTTTTTCTGGTTAGATGCATTATTGAAATATTTGTATAGAATGACTGTAAATTATTTGGCGATGTGCTAATTCCAAAAATGTGTAATATCATATATCTGACTACAAATTGTAAACTGTGCTGGGAAATGGAACAGAATGGATGGAATTTCTGTACATCAAACATATATAACAATTTCCGGCAGAAATCCTAAAAATATCCTACACAATTATTTTTGGGACGTTCTAAACACCTTCACCGACATCCTGTGACTATCTCGAAGAAGTTCTTGTATATCTAGATTATGTCCTCTGAACCATATGAAAGACGTCCGAAGGACGTTCTCGAAATCTCCTGAGGACCCGCTGAGGTGCTCATTTGTTGTACTACAGGACATCCTGAGGACGTCCCTGGACTGTCATGGGATATCCTTAAAACATCCTTACATCCTGTCCTGGACGTCCTGAGGATGTCCTGAGGACGTGCTTGTGCTGTTTGGGATGTGTTACAATTATGAAACACCCTGTATAGACACACAAACATACCTAGCAAACACTATTACATGTAACGTGCATGTTGTAATTTACTACTCAACAATATAAGTGTTATATAACACGTGTTTAAGCGAAACATGGCTTTAAACGATGACAATACATAAAGGAAAAGATGCTATGTACTGCTCGAGATGCTGTATGCTATGACGTGTCACAAAGCTCTCCTACTCTGCCCTTAGAGAGAAACCCACGTACTTTCCATTTTTCTATTTTGAGCTCTTACTTCCTTATTTAAATAAATACTTAAATTTCCAGAGTTCTTCTTGTTGCGATACACTTAAGTTTCTTTATCTTATTTGCTTTTAGTCACTAATGCATCTTCAAAAATTTAACGTCCCCTTATCTTAAGAACATTTTATATCAAGACTTATCTTAAAAACATCAGTCACATGACTATTTTTAGTCTAAAGAATACAGTTCTCTAATCATACATTCCCTTTTGTTCGCGCAATAGCGTACGCTGGAAGCCGATTCCTCTTTTCGCAGCGTTCCGAGACACGATTTGAACGTATCGACGCTCATGCGGCGCGCATGCGGCCGCCGCATGTCAACATTAAATATTCGCGCGCCGGTTATCTGTTGTTTCTAAATTTCTTGTTTGAGTCCTTTGTTTTCTCTGATCTTCTTTGTTCCAAATGTATCAGTTGCGTGTTTTGAAAAACAATATAAATTCGAGACGTTGTGGAGCTCGCTCTCTTTTCTTTTGGACCGTTTTGCGAATCATTCTGAAGTAAGCGAATCAATTTTCTGCGACACGTGAGCGCGAGCTGACTCGGTAAGCACCGATCTTTAATTTGTTTGCGCTCGGAACGCTCTTTAAGAAAAGGACCATCGATCCTCGCCAGCGCGAGCCTGGTCCAAACATCAAAAAGAGCCACGAAGGAATCACCGATCGCCCTCCACGACAATCTCCGTTTAGGCGGTCGCGGTCTCAGTCGTCCGGTACAGCGCGCGCCGAGCCACAATTGTAATCGGACAGTCGACCAGGTTTATTTCGCATAATTGTCGAGATTCCACTAATTTTCGAGCGTTCAAACGGAATAAAAGAGCTCTATTCAACAAATTCACGGATCTGATTCTTTGCTCCTCACTGCTTGACGAAGCAAGCGATTTTCGGTCCCTTGCGCCTCTCGCGAGACGAATCCAGCAAGCACGTGTAGCGTGAACCGGCACTCGTGCATCTTCGCTGATTCGAGACGCGCCGTTCGCGATCGCGCGAACACCTTTCTATAACAACTTATCAAAAATCCTTAAGAATATATATTTCAATTATTTAAACTCTGTCGCTATTTTTAAATTATTTCAATTTATTTAAGTACACCTTCGGCCTGTCCAGATCTAGCTCTAAACATAAGAGTCTAGGTCTGTACATGTTAAAATAATTATCTCACGGTTTCAAACTCGTGAACTCGTGAACACTTCGAATATTCGTGGAAAATTCGTGGATACCAGTGTGTACTACGTCTATTTATAATATAATATGAAATTAAATAACCCAGCAAACACAGAAAATAACTGTTATATAACATAGGAGTAACATGTAATATAACATATGTTATATACTAGTTATATTAAGGTTATATAATTTGGTTTCATAGTTGTAATATAATTCTGTTATGTATCTGTTATACTGTTTTGTTATAAATTAGAGATAACATTATAATAATAATATAACAGGAATATAACACGTTATATAACAGTAATTACGTTCATATTATATTGATGTTATACAACACAACTATTCATGCAATCCATTAAAAGCTGCAAATGCTTTCTATTGCGAATAAGGGTGCATTCCGATAGAAAAAGAAATAGCAAAGCGGAACAGTAACAAATAAAAGAAATGGTGGAAAGTTAATCAAGCAGAAATTGCGTTCCGTTTTTTTGTAGATGTTTTATTTTGTAGTTCTATGTTTTTATGTATTTTTAATACCTTCATCGCGCTTAAGCAGACCATGTTGTCTATTTGCCTATTTATATTGACGTTTATAATGCACGTTTATATGCATACTGATATGTATATTCCCACAAAAAAGTACATCGAATCCACGTGGAATGCATTCGTTACATTCACGTGGAATCCACAAAACCACATGGATTTCACGTGGACACAACGTTCCTATTTTCGTGGAGATATCCGCACTTATACTATTTAAACGTTTAAGAACGCTTGTATATTATACAAAATTCACAGAGAAAAGTTTCTTTAGGTTTAATATTCTTGTTCGATTTTGAGTTGTTTCGTTAAAATATATTTTTACAATATCATTTTTAGAAAAAGAACTCTATTTCATTGAAGAAAACTATGTTAATAAAAAACAGGATTTGAGATATTTTTCAAAAGTTTTTTTAGATTTAGTAATTAAAATTTTTTAGATTTAGTAATTAAAATTTTTTAGATTTAGTAATTAAAATTTTTTATTTAAACTTCCTTGAATTTGTTTCAAACTATTTATTTTGTGGGTTAACCATTATAATACTTCATTATTAGTAATTTTGGAACATAGTCTATACTGATATTCGTCGCATATCGAATGTTGTTGCGTTGTTTTAATTTTTGAAATGAAAGGTTATAATGTTCTGTGAACAATATAAGG